ATTTTGTCTTTGTCCAAACTAGACTGTTGCTCTTGCTAAAGACTAACATATTTGGAGAAAGGGAACACACACTATGCTCTACGTAGCCTTTTTGTATATGCTGAACTCTCAATGTTTGTTATTCACATTGAATTTGAAAATATTCTGCTATAACAAGACAACTACCAACTCTTTTATGCACTACTTCCTGAGAAGGCTCCTACATCTTCTCTAAGAAAAACAAATTCAGTCAACAAGTCAAAAGTCCATAAAGCACAAGCAAGCTCAAGATGAATTGAGAAAGAGCTAGGAACCAGCAAAGGAGGATAAGTTAATGGGGCTTAGGGGCTATCACCCCTAAACTTAGAGAGGCATGTCCATTTCTTCTCCCACTTTTTCTCTACTTTCTGCAGTGGATTCATGGGATGGCTAAGAAGGGTGATTTTAATATAACTGAAAATGAACCTCATCAGAGCCAGATATTTTAGTTTTGAATCTACCTTGTTCTAAGTATTTCCTCTAACATGTTGTAGGCATGGTCACATCTAAGCCTTATGTTTCATAAGCAAAGTGCAATCAATATTTTTTTCATGGAGATGATAATTAACTTATAACAATGTACATTTAATGTGCCTGGCAAAATGGACAGCAATAAGTAAAATATGAGAAGCACTCCTTCTTCTGTTCCATGGAGCTTAGAGATACTACTAGTGAAAACTAACACACACACTCTCTCTCTCTCTCTCTCTCTCTCTCTATATATATATATATATATATATATATATATATATATATATGAAAGTATATGTGTGAGTATGTGCATGTGTATGTGTGCTTGCACTTTTGTGGTAAAGTCTTCCTTGCATATAAGAGATCATGTTCCAGGCATACATGGCTCATCATTTGATAGAAATTCTCCAACTAGACAAGACAAATTCCTTCACAAAATGGGAGCTGGTGACCATTAACAGTGTTATTGAAGAATTGTAGTTTCAAAACTGACAGCTGTACTGATCTACAATTTTATACTGAACACAAGAGCTCTAAGAGTCATGAAACTGCTTCCCAGTCTCTTGTATACACACTATTCCCAGGGAGAATCCAAGTTCAAGAGGCACATCTTCAGCTCTGAGTAGTGATGCTAATGGTAGAACTCATAGATACTGAGGCAGAAAATCAAGGGAAATACTGCTATTTTATAATAATAATAATAATAATAATAATAATATATTTTTTAAATTTTTATTATTTGTCCAGTAATAATAATATAATACTTACTGGACAAATAGTGTTCTTGATGTATTAACCTTTGAAATCTTTTAAAAATAATCATTCTATTTATCTGTTCTAATTTGTTATACATGTCAGCAGAATGCATTTCAACTACACAAATGGAGCATAATTTTTCTTTAAAACCTTAACCAGAAATGTATGTGATAGTTTCTACTTTATTCCCATTATATATATGAGATGATTGCAAAGAGGTGACACATGATGGAAATGAGTCATAAAGCTAGATTATATGTCTTCACAGTCTGTGTTCTCAAATTCTGTATTAGATGGGATGAATTATTAAATTGTTCAAAATATATCACTTATTTATTTACTGAACATTTATGGAATTGACCACTCCCTGTCCAAGCTCCCAGACCTCTTTTTCATACCTTTTGTAGTACTTTAACAAATTCAATAAAATAACTTGTTGACATGTGGTTTTATCAGTAGACAGGGTGCAATGACCATATCTGAGACATCTGTTGCACTTATATCATCTAGCCTGTTACATGGTTCATACCTTGAGTTGGTCATGGGACAGACTCTGTTGGATATTTTAAAGTAAGGAGTTAAGTGAAGAATAAAAACAGTTTCCAACATGACATTGCTCTCAGTCTCTGAGAGGGTCAAACAAAGGCAACATGCTATGTTCCCGTGAGGCAGAATGAAATAAGACCTATAATTATGGTATTATAGTTTGTTGCTGGGGAGCCTCAGAGAAAGTAGCAGTTAATTATTATTGTAACTTGAATAAAGAAATGAGGAGTTCAAAGGTTCTCAGCAAAAATAAATTATAAATGTTTAAGGAGATGGAAATATAATTATCCTGATTAGATCATCAAACATTGAATATATATATATATGATATTATCACACTGAACCTTAAAATATGTGAAAACAACACAAAGAGAAAAAATATTCTGGAGAACATTGATATGCAATGTAATGTGAAGTAATACCATATCTGAATACAATTAAGTTTTAGCAACTTGCTTGGATGATTTGGCACAAGGCCATTAACACTGGATGTGGGAAAAAAGATGAGCCGAACTCTACAGATGCCAACAGCAAAACTTACTAAGAAATAGTACATGCTTCTTTTATTTATTTATTCATTCATTTATTTATTTCCATTTTTAAAAAAAATTGTTTTAATTAGTTACACATGACAGTACAATGATCTTGACATATCATACATTTGAATCAGATGGGGTATAATTTCTCATTTTTTGAGTGTACTGGTTGCAGAATCACATTGGTTATACAGTTATGTATATACATACAGCAATAATAATGTCTATTTTATTCTGCTGTCCTTCCTTTCCCCCCTTTCCCTCCCCTCCCCTCCCATCACTTCTCTCTACCCAGTCTAATGTGACATACTTCTTTTTTTTTTTCCCCTCACATCATCATACCTGTATTCTGTATAATGAAGCGGGTGGTAGATAGAACAAAGGTTGATTATAAGCCTCAGTTTTTATATTTTTAGCATCAGTTTTCTGATTTTCAGGATGAAGGATCATACTTGCATCTACTGACAGGTTTGTTGTGGTGATCTAGTGAGCAAGTGTAACTATTAGCATATTTAATAGTTCCCCAATATTAGTTTCATTACACCTGAAATGATTGACAATAAATATTTGTTTCTTGGCTTATTTATTTTTAATAGGAGATTTATTATCATGGTATATAATCGAAAGTTTATCTAAATGTATTTTATAGGTCACCTATATTCCTCAAAATATTGTGGAACAAACCAGTCCAAAACCCAGAGCAAGCATCACATATATTAAACAAATGAATTCTATTCAGAGTTTCCAAAGAACTCTTGCAACTCAAAAAAAAAAAGTTTTTTTTAAATCCCACAAAAGGGGCAAAAGATTTGTACATACATTTCTCAAAAGAAATGATGAAAAAGCATATCAACTTATATGCAACGATTAGTAACTTGGAAAATGCGAATCAAAACCACAATAAAATACCTCAACGTACTCATTAGTTTGGTTAAAATGTAACAGACTCTATAATACCAGGTAGGGGTTGTGGCTCAGTGCTAGAACTCTTGTCTAGCATATGAGAGGCCACCAGGTTTAATTCTCAGCACTGCCAAGAAAAAGGCCATATTGAATATTTGTAAGAATATGAAGTCAACTGGAACTCTCCTTCTTTGATGATGGGTATGCAAAATGGTATAACTACTTCAGAAAAATGTCAGGTGCTTAAAAAGCTAAATAAATACAGGTAGACTTATAATGTGGACCATGTAATCATTCCACTATTGTGTGTTTATCTAAGGTAAGTGATGATATATGTCCACACAAAGACATGAATACTCATAGCAGCTTTATTCACAGTAGTCCAAACTTGAAACAATTCAGATGTCCACCTACAAATGAATCTCTAAAACATAATGTGATATATCCAACCAATGGAATACTGCTATGAAATAAGAAGCGATTAAATATTGATAGATGCTATGACATACCTGCATTTCAAAATAATTATTCTGAGTTATTGAAACTAGGCATAACGGAGTATATATTGTATAACTAAATTTATTTGAAGTTGTAGAAATTTCAAAAGGATCTATATTGAAAGAAAGCAGATCTGGGAGCAGGAATAGATGGGTTACAAATGGAGCACTTTGTAGAAAAATATAAACATGAAAATTTGTAGGAAAATTTTTTGGATGATGAATATATTCACTATCTCCATAGTGGTGAGAGTTTCCTATGTGTGTACATATATGTTTAAATGATCAAATTTTACACTAAATTTTTGCAGTTTGTTGTATTTCAATTATACTTAATAAAGTTATTTTAAGAACTCCATTGTCTGTATTTCATATTAAAAATTTATGAACTGGGAGTGTAGATCAGTGGTAGAGTGCTTGCCTAGCACATGTGAGGGGCACTGGGTTCAATCCCTGATATAGTGGTGAAACAAACATTTGCATCTTACTTATGCAACTCTGAGGTTGTGATGATTCAATCTGAATTCCATTAGATTTGGTTCCAGCCTCTGAACCAAATGCTCCAATTATCTCAAATTCTCCTTAAAATACCAACCTAACTAGGTCAAGTTCTTTCCATAACAGAGTAAGATGAATAAATTAAACATAAATGTGAAATTTCTCAAAACCTCATACCAAAACTGAAGTACTGTCATTTCCCTATTTAAATGGTTAAAATTAATTGGCATATTCAAATTCAACATCAGTGAGGCTGTTAATTAGATACTTCTCACTCTCATGGGTAGGTGGTTCTGAACAATAATTGCAAACAATTCAGTCTACCACAGGTAATCACACTGAAAAGTGCCATTATATTACCTATCCTCCTAGTTTCCCTGCTTTGAGACAACCAACTGTATCGAATTTCATGTGCTTTTAAGTTATATGTACATGTGAATTAATTTATTTTCTTATTTTGCAGAAATATTATATACTATACACACTGACTTATATTTTGCTCTTCATTTGAATTATTTTGGAGACTGTCCTTTATTGGTATATAAAAATTACTTATTACCATTCTACAGATATTGTAGCTCACCATGTTCATATATTATAATTTAATGAATCCCCTTTCTATGGGCATTTGGTAGTTTCTAATTATTTGCTGTTATAGAAATTGTAGTAATTGACATCATATACACATAAGTTTGTACATGTGGAATGATATTTGGATGTATTTGAAGACAAATTTTGAAAAGTTCTAATGGCAAGAAATTTTATTTTGGTTCAGGTCTTGCCAGTGAAGAGACCCTGATGAAACCCAAACTGAACATTTTGGGAGATCAAGTGGTGATCCAGGCTGGTGGAGTGTTTGACATTACTTGCAGGTAATAATATCAAGACTTTCATTTTGTTGTAATTAAAATACCCATGTAGGAAGTTTACAGAAACATGGTTTTGTTCCTACTACAAATTTTAAAAATTATTTTATAATCATAGAGAATAGGTTTTGGAAGTTAAGATTTATTGATATTGTTTTCCACAAAAATGGATTTCTTGGAGGTGGCACGGGCTAGTTCTTCAGTTGAATCCAGGTGCTTTTCTTCTTGTCTTCCCTTTTTATTCATAAATTTTGGGAATTACTTTAAACTCATATACCATTTTATCTGACTAATGTGTGCATTAATTCTCTTGAAAAGCGTCTTGCTCTTGTTTATTTTGAAAAATGTCAAAAGCATGGTGTGTGACACTATAGGCTTGGTTTGGTAATAGTTAAATTAATGGTACTCTTTTCTTAAAAGGTACCTATTTCTTCTCTATCAAAGCATCATATTTCTTATAGATGTGCACATATGTAGCCAAATGCAGAACTTTATATTTCCAAAAAATATCTAAAGGATATCTAATTGCTAACTCTTGTCTTTACCTTCATGCTCTTTCTCTTGGTGAATTAGATAGCACTTCTAGGAGAAAGAGGAAAATTTCAGTTTGAAATAGCCTACTAGAATTTCTTAATGTAAGAACAATAGGCATGGGCATATATGAGAGATTAGGCAGGCTAGTATTGGAAATATAAGAATCATTCACAGAAACTGGATAGGAGTTGAAATTATATATAGAGATGAGGATAATAAAAGAGTGTTTGAAGTAAGGAGAGAACAGTAGAAAGGTCATAATCCTGAGGAGACCCTGTACTTAAGGAAAGAGTGGGAAGAAAGGGTAGTTAGGAAAGTGCATGGATAATAAATAGAAAGGAGAAACAAGGGAAAATCAAGGTAGAGGAGAGTTTCAAGAAAGAAAGAATAGGCAAATTCTGTGATGTAGGTGCAGGTGCTCAATAAATTTATATTGGGTTGAATTGAACTGAAAAAGAGCAGAATCTCCCTCCTTCTTTAAGATAACTTATAGCCCAATGTATCAATAAAATAAGGTTGGAGTATATGCAATAGAAAATCCAAATTTACAGTGATTTTAGACACAAGATTTCACTATTTGATGGAAAAATTCCCAAAGATCGATATCTATAGCCATTATTCCACTTCCATAAAATAATTAGAAATTTAGACTCTTTCTGTATTGTAACTCTGTCTTCCTTAACTGATGACTTACACCACATTGTCCAAAATGGCATCTTGAATTTCAGTCACCATGTCTATATTCCAGCTAGTTAAAAAGAAGAATGCCAGAGAGAGACATGCCTTTTCCCTTTAAGGATACATAGAAAATTTTTCCACACTAATTGTGCTTATATCTTCTTGCCCAGAACTTAGTTACATGGCCACACATAGCTGCAAGAGAGGCTTGGAAATGTAATTATTTATATATATATATATATATATATATATATATATATATATATATATATATATTTTTTTTTTTTTTGCCAGAATGCCATATGCCCAACTAAACCAGTGAAGATTTTATTTAAAAGAGGAGAACAAAGTGACTTATACTAGGTATATTTTATTGGTAGTGGTGATATGCAACTTGTTTCCTATATCATTGGAGGGTGAGGTCTTCTATCCTAGCTACTGTGAATTATTGTATTCTCCTTTATGAGCTGAACTATTCCCCTAGCTGATTGGGATCCTAAAAGTATAGTTTAATCTTGACCAGTAGATTTGAGTCAGAATTGAAGGCCACAAAAGCTGTCTTTTCCATACCTGGGGGCCTTTCCAGCCACATCTTAAGGTATAGAGTATGATTGAGAAGCTTGCTTCACTTCATTTTTAGCTCCTATTCATTGGTCCCCTTTACCCCAGTACCCCTGAATGGCATCTGACCTGTAAACCAGAAGTTAGAGGAGTTGCCAGTGATTACTTGCTGTGCCTTGTCCTATCATATTCCAATAGGTTGTAATTGTTTCCAAAGCCTCTTCTCTGGGCCTCATGAATCACAGCTCTCGAATTAACTATTAATTTTAAACAATTAACCCAGTTGATGCATGTGAAACAGGTTTAGTTATGGATGGGTGGTTGATTGCTACTTCAGGTTAGATCTGTGTCAGTTCTAGGAGGATTCAAAAGAAAGTGAATTTGGAAAACATGTTAATAGGGACTGAGGTGGGCATAGGAATAAAATGAAGGAGGAATGGCTTCTAAAGATAAATGATTTCTCAGAAGTTTAAAAACTATTGGGGGCCCTGCATTTACTTATTGTATATAAATGTAAATAATATCTCATTTATTTGCTATATGGAAAACTATTGTTGATGAAGGCAAATTCTAATCCCTCCCCTTAGTGTCAAAAAGCAAATAAATTATTGATGAGAAAAATAATTCACTGCTTATATTCTGTAGAAGAAGAGTGCTCTGTCTGATGCTTGGAATTTCCACACATGCATAACTGGGTAAGACATATTCTCTGCTTTCTAGCAGATCACATCACAGTTGAATGAACAAGACAGCCACTCAAAAAAAAGGGATGTTGAAAGGAATAAGAACTCTCAATTGGAAGTTTCAGGATATATTTAGAATGGAGGATATTTTAGAAAAAGGAATAACCTCAAATAAGGCTTAGAAGTTGGACTATACATCTTTCATAGAAGTTTCAAGTGCTTGATATATTTAGACCCACATCAGTCCCATAGAATCGAAGCAGGGATGGTTATCTTCATGTATTTACTCAATATATATTTATTTAAGACTGGACTAAGTCCAGAAGATGAGATAATATATAGTATAAAGATCTCTGCTCTCATGGACCTGAAATCCCAATGGTAAAGACAGATAATATATATAATAAATAAGAAGTTGTAGGGTATATTTGAAGATGATAAGTGCAGTTGAGATAGTAGCAAGGCAAGGTGATGGGATGAAGAGAAGTTATTTCTTTGAAATGCTTGGTCAGATTAGAAATGCCATTTGAGCAGAGACCTAAAGAAGTAAAAGAAAGAACCATGCAGGTATCTGGAGGAAGAGGGTTCCAGACAGAAGGCATAGAAAAAAATGCAAAGATCTACACAAAGGTATAATTTTGATATGTCAAGGAATAGAATGAAGGATGGAATGAAGAGAAAATAATTAAGTGATGGGGAGAAAGATAGATTAGACTGGACAGTTAGCAGGGTCTTGTAGACCATAAGGAGGTTTTTGAATTTATTCTGGATATCATGGGAAGCCATTGAAAGAATTAAGAAGAAGAATGATTTGATCTGATACGTTCTTTAAAAAGTTTATTCTGACTGTTACAGCGGATATAGTTCACAGGGGAAATAGAAGGTTACTTTAGTTATCTATGAGATAAATGAAATGAGCCAACAGTGGAGGGGATAAGAAGAGGTCAAGTTCTTAATATATTTTGAAGGTAGAGCCTACAGTATTTTATTATGGAGAAGTGGAGTGTGAGACAGTAATTTTGGGGGTACTTCAGTCTGTGCCAGACATTGTTCTAAGCACTTTGCATGAATCAGCTCATTAAATTGTCATAATAACTCTGTCAGGTATGTTCTATCAACTCTACAAATGAGGAAACCAAGGCCTAAAGAGAAGACATTTAAGATTTCAAATGGTAGAATTCCCTGACTCCCAATGGCTTTTCAATCGTGCCAATGTACCAGCAACCCTCCATACTTTCTGATGCTTGGAAATTCTATGAAGTAGGCTGAGCTTACATTTTGCCTAGTGGGATTTTTCATGTTTTTCTTTTCTTTTTTTTTTTTTTGTGTGTGTGTGTTGGGATTGTGTCACTATTCAGGTAGACTTTAGTAGTGTTTCCTTTTGCAAATTGTTCAAGTTCTCAAACTATATACTGCAGACCTTTTGTCTGATAGGCTAATTCAACATCTTATACAAGGTAGATAAGGTAAATAAGCCATACTTTGATAAAGCCCAAGCTTTTAGACTCCACAGAATGTTATTGGGAATGGAATCCTAATCATTCCATGCTTCCAGCTGTTCAGGCTCAGGCTCATGAATTGGCTATCAGAGTCTTCAGAACCCAGACCGTATTATAGTATTCTTCCTTTAATATTTGTAGAAGTTTCCACTCAAAATCAACCAAATATCCAGGAAGGTGATTGGCAGAACCTATCTGATGGGAATTGATAATGGTCCTAAATCAGAGGCATGGCACATGAACACACTCAGCCAAATTCTTCCTTTCCACTCCCTGGTCTATAAACCCAAGGCTTTTGTTTTTAACTCTTCTATCAAGTGATGCTCTTCCTAAAGATCCTCATATTCTGGCCACCCCTCCACACTACTATAAATAATTATTCATGTGCCCCATTTTCAATAAATCTTCTAATTTAATGCATGTCTAACTTATGCTTGATTTTTATGGTATGTCATATTACAATAGATTCTTTTCATAGGAAATGGAACTTCATTAATAACAAAGTTATTCTTTTTGATGATGCCAAAATTGTCAGAGATTTCATTGGGATATAATGATACACCTTGAGGGGAAAGATAATGATGTGAGTTTCTCAAATTCTCCTTAAAATAGGTATTGAAACTGAAGTTGGAATTCTGTGGTAGGAATTCAAGCATAAAAAGGGGGCTTGAATTGATTGATTTTGGACCAAGCAAATCATAGAACACACAGCCAATTTTTGTGGGCTCTGTAAGCTAATAATGATTTTTGAATTGTTAAATCGTTATAAAAATGTACAATTTGTGATAGAGACTTTCACAAACTAAAATATTTATGAGGCACTTTAAGGAAAACTTTGCCTATCCATGAGCCCAAGATTCTGTCTGCTGCTTTAATTCTTTGTGTCCAAGTACAGGACAAATAATGTGCGCTGTTCATGTGTGAGGATTTCACAAACTAGTTTGGGTTGGACTTGGGCATTACCAAGAGCAGTTAGAGATACTGCACATATAGGGATGAAATCCAGAAGAGTAGTATCTTCTGTTGGCTCTAAATGTCAGTTTTCAGACTCCAGTCAGGTAAGGCAAGAAGGAATCAGGAAATGGCAACACTGGCAACAAGTTCTCATGGAATTCAAGGATCAACAATAATGTTTACTTAATATGGCAGCTCTGACTACTTTAGGGAGTGTATTAGTTCTCTAGCATTGTCATTACAAAATACCACAGATTGGGTGACTTCAAGGCCAGAAATTTATTTCCTCATAGTATTGGAGGCTAGAAGTTTAAGATAAAGCGTTAGCAGGATTGGTTTCCCCTGAGTTCTTACTCATTGGCTTCCAGATGCCCACCCTTTCTCTTTCTCTTTTCTGTATGCACACATCCCTGATGTTTCTGTGTGTCCTAATCTCCTCTTCTTATAAAGATACCAGTCATGTTGGATTAGAATCCACAACAATGAACTCATTTTAACTTAATCACCTTTTAAAAGTTTTACCTCTGAATACAGTAACATTCTGATGTGTTGGGGGATAGGGCTTCAAAATGTGAATTTTGAGGTTATACAATTCAGACCCTCATAGTGGGTTTGGAATGATTTCTCTTAGGATGTTTGGTTCTGAGGGCATTCAATTTATTCAAAGACCCCATAATTGGGCAAAACATACCTTAAAGAAGCCATGCTTCTATTGGAAGTAAGACTTTAGTGGAAAGAAGAAATAGGGGTCAGACTGAGGAACTACTACTCAAATTCATTTCTTTCCAATTACAGTGGAAGCTTCAGGGTACAAGATTCTTGGGAGCAAAATTTGCAATGTTGCTTTCTAACCAATCCCTATCTTTTTTTTTTTTAAGAGAGAGAGAGAGAGAGAGAGAGAGAGAGAGAGAGAGAGAGAAATTTTTAATATTTATTTTTTAGTTTTCAGTGGATACAACATCTTTATTTTATTTTTATGTGAGGATTGAACCCAGTGCCCTGCGCATGCCAGGCGAGCGTGTTACCACTTGAGCCACATCTCCAGCCCTACCAATCCCTCTCTTGATCTTTCTTTCTCATGGCATTATATAACAATCCCCATTTTCAACAGTCTGAATCACACTCATGGCAACATATCATCTTTTCAAAATAATGAAAGTATATTGCATTTATAGAAGGTGCTTGAGGTGAGTGGTTGTCTCTCACATTCTTTCATGTTCTACTTTTGGGGTACTGTAGTAAAATTAGGAGCCATGATAAACCGTGGTTAAACAAATATGTGCATACTACAGATACTATGATATGATGTGGGGAAATGTGTCTATCTTTGGAGAACTGGAATCAAGTTTGGCTCAAGCTTACCCCACTCCCACTGCCTCCCACACATGTGGTTTCCTTCCATTGATAAAACTTTTCAAAGGTTTCTGGATGAATCTTCACACCTTCAGTGGGAGAGGAGGATTACAGCTTCTGTTTTACAGATAAGCAACATAAGCTTAAGTAACTAGTCAAGATTATGTAATTAAGTAACTAGTCAAGATTATGTAACAGCAATAATACTGAGAATCAATATCCAGGTTCTTTTTCCTTCCCACTTTTTTGTTTTTTACAATGGTTGTTTTTGCTGTGCAAATGGTGAGGGAGGTGAGAATTATCCTTGGTGGGTGTTTTAGTCAGCTTTTTCATTGCTATTACTGAAAGACCTGACAAGAACAGTTAGAGAAGGCAAAATTTATTTGGGGGCTCATGGTTTCAGAGGTCTTAGTTTATAGATGGCTGACTCCATTCTTTCGGGCTTGAGGTGAGGCAGAACTTCATGGTGGCAGGGTGTCATAGAGGAAAGCAGCTCAAGAAATGGCTCTGGGAAGCAAAGAGAGAACTCTGCTCAACTAAGACAAAATATATTCCAAAAGGTACACCCCCAATGATCCACACCTTCCATATACACTGCACCTGCCTTCAGTTACTACTCAGTAAATTCCTATCAGGGGTTAGGGTTAGGGTTAGGGTTCACTAATTGTGTTAAGGCTCCTGTAACCCAATCATTTTACTTCTAAATGTTTTGCATTTTTTTCGCACATGGGACTTTGGGGGACACCCAATATCCTCAAACATAACATTAGGAGAAGGAGATAGATTCCATTCATTTTGTCTGCATGTGGAATAATTGTAATGGAATTAAATTTAACTTTGTCCTCGGTGCTTTCTCACAGAATGCAGAGAATGTCATCCAGGTGCATATCTTTTCAGAGCTCAAATCATTTCCCAGAAGAGATTTTAAAATTTAATGAGAAAATAAATGTGGAAAAAAATCTACACTGAGATCTAGCTTACACATTGTTGGTCCTATCAGCAACTTCTTGGATAAGGCGTTTTGCCTTCCTGAGCTTATTTGCCAAGTGGAAACAGTAGAGACAGAAAGGACATAAGGAATGACTTAATGTAATATTTTCTTACACCTTTGTAAGTTGTTTTCCCAAAATTTCAAAGCACCCCTATTGGGGAGAAAGCTGGCTGAATATTGGAGGAAGAGGAACTGCAGTGGAAGATAGAGACAAAGACTTGACATGTCTTTGAATCTTACCTGCTTTTCAGATTCTCATCTAGCCCATAACTAAGTATCCCAATTTCAGTTGCCAATACTTTCATGTGCATCAAGCTATCTGCTACAGTTAAATCTTCAGAATTAGGGGCCTGAAGTATGGCTACTTCTGCATTGTCTCGCCCAGACCTTCTTTAGTATGGCTTGCTTTCTTAATTAATTTGTTTGTTTATTTATTTTTTTGCATTGTTTTCTCAGAGGATTGGCTGCCATGACCTGGACCTGGGGCATTGGACTTGCAGGGAGTCGGACCCGCATCTTGGAATATCCCTGTTCTGATAACCACCTTTTCACTTGCAACCAACTCACTATCTTCCACACAGAAGCTGGTGACACTGGCTACTTCACATGTAGTTACAAAGATGTGGCTGACACCAAGGATTCTAATGGCAAGGCCAGTGTATATGTGTATGTCAAAGGTGAGTGGGTACCTCCTACCTTTGGACTCAAGGATATTGTATTTTTTTTTCTGTACATCTAGATACATATATCCCAAGGTCATTTTGGAACAAGCTGGAGTGTTTTATTTTATGGGGAGAGAAGGAAAAGAAGAGTTTGATACACGAGGGACAGACTTGTGCTTTTTGACTTTGGTGTGGTTTGCCTACACAGCTTCATAATTTGCAAAGATAACATTCTTTATCTCTGATCTATGGAAACAAGAAAAAAACAATATGAAGTTGATTTCAGCTGCTTCCAATAATATTTTTAGTAAAGAAAGAAAATACTTTTGCAGTACTTACCATGTATCAGGGACTGTTCTAAGAGATTTACAAGTATTAACTTAAGTTATTTCTCATAACGATCCTATGAAGTAGGTACGAATTTTACCCATTTTATATGTGAGGCAACTGAGGCATACAAAGGTTAATAATTTGCCTAAAATCACACATCTGGCAAGTATCAGGGTAAGGATCCAGATATTCTGGTTATAGGGTTTATTTTCATGTTAACTACTATGCTGACCTTTATGCAGTACTTATTATGTTGTTAGCCACTATTCTAACCATATCATGTATTTTGAACCTCATTCAATATTTACAGAAATCATGTTCATATATGCACATGATATAGTTTGGTTAATTTCATTCTACTATACTACTCCTTTCCCATCCCTCCTACTTTCTGTTTTTTTAAAATCTGTATTGCATTTTATTTTATTTTTATTTTTTTTACATTTGAATCAGATGGGATATAATATCTCATTTTTCTGAGTATAAAGGTTGCAGAATCACATTGGTCATGCAGTCACATATATACACACAGTAATAATAATGTCTGTTTCATTCTACTATCCTTCCTATCTCCCCAACCCCTCCCCTCCCCTCCCATCACTTCTCTCTACCTAATCTAGGGTAACGCTATTCTTTTTTTTCTCACATCTTCATACATATATTTTGTATAACAATGAGGGTCTCCTTCCACCATCCATGCAATTCCCTTTCTTCCTCCCTTCCCCTCCCACTCCCCTTCCCTATGTAGAGGTAATCTTCTCCCCATGCTCTTCCTCTCTTCCCCATCTCTTTACATCTCATTCTCTTTCCTCTACTCTCTTGTTCTCCCTTTTATATTCATGAGATTTGTCCCCATTTTTAATCTTTTTTTCTCTCAGTTTCCACATATAAAAGAAACATTTGGCTCTTGGCTATCTGAGTCTGACTTATTTTACTCAGCATGATGTTCCATTCATTTTCCTGAAAATAACATAATACCATTCTTCTTTATGGCTGAGTAAAACTCCACTGTGTATAAATACCACCTTTTGGCTATCCAATCGTCTATTGAGGGATACCTATGCTGGTTCTGTAACTTGACTATTATGAATTGTGCTGCTATAGACATCTATATGTAGGCATCACTATAATATGATTATAGTTCTTTTTGATAAATAACAAGGAATGGGATAGCTGGGTAAGAATGGTGGATTCCTCCCTAATCATTTTGGGCATCTCTGTACTGCTTTCCAAAGTGGATGAACTGATTTGTAGTTCTAGCAACAATGAATAAGTGTACCTTTCACTCCATATCCTAGGATTTATTGTTCTTTGTATTCTTTGTTTAGATTTTAATTTGTTATATATGACAATATAATACATTACAATTCATATTATACATATAGAGCACAATTTTTCATATTTCTGGTTGTACACAAAGTAGAGTCACATCATTTGTGTCTTCATACATATACTTAGTGTAATGATGACCATCACATTCCACTGTCTTTCCTACCCCTATGCCCCCTCCCTTCCACTCCTTCCCTTTTTCCCCTTTGTCCTATTTGGAGTTCCTTTTATTCTCCCATTCCTACCCCCTAGAGCATATTATGGATCAGCATCCTTAAATCAGAGAAATCATTTGGCATTTTTTTTTTCCGGGGGGGGGGGATTGGCTAATTTCACTTAGCATTATATTGTCCAGCCCATCCATTTACTTGTAAATGCCATGATTTTATTCTCCTATAATGCCAAATAATATTCCATTGTGTATATATACCACATTTTCTTTATCCATTCATTTACTGAAGGGCATCTAGGTTGGTTCCACAGTTTAACTATTGTAAATTGTGCTACTAAAACCATTTATGTGGCTATGTCCCTGTAGTATGCTGTTTTTAAGCCCTTTGGGTATGTTTTAAACCAAAGAGTGGAATAGCTGGGTCAAATGGCGATTCCATTCCCAGTTTTCCAAGGAATCTCCATACTGCTTTCCATATTGGTTGCACCAATTTGTGGTGCCACCAGCAAAGTATGTATGAGTGTGCCTTTTCCCCTACATCCTTGCCAACACTTATTTTTATTTGTCTTCATAATAGCTGCCATTCTGACTGGAGTGAGATGGCATCTTAGAGTAGTTTTGATTTGCATTTCTCTAATTGCTAGAGATGTTGAATATTTTTTTCATATATTTAGTGATTGATTGTATATCATCTTCTGAAAAGTGTCTGTTCAATTCCTTGGCCCATTTATTGATTGGGTTATTTGTTTTGTTGGTGTTAAGATTTTTGGATTCTTTATATATCCTAGAGATTAGTGTTCTAACTGATGAGCATGTGGTAAAAATTCGTTCCTATTCTGTAGGCTCTCTATTAACCTCACTGATTGTTTCTGTTGCTGAGAAGAAGCTTTTTAGTTTGAATCCATCCCATTAATTGATTCTTGATTTTAATTCTTGCACTATAGGAGTCTTATTAAGGAAGTCTGAGCCTGATATTACATTATGAAGATTTGGGTAGACTTTTTCTTCTTTTTTTTTTTTTTTTTTTTTTTTTTTTT